CGGCGCAGTTTTTGGTTATTGAACTGTTGTCATTTGGTGAGTGCTCTGCCAGACTTGCCATCCTGTAACCACTCCGTTGGAAATTCGGCATTGCGATGGCATAAATATCATTAAATAAATATTTTCCAGCCCTTTGTTCTCGTCTATTTTGGCCACATCAGACGTAAAGGCAGTTTGGCTAGCGCGACTTTTTGTGCCTTTGTGATTCGCAATCGTTGCATAAATAATGGCTTTTTTTTTTTGAGTTAACCAGCAGCGTTAAATGATCATGCTTACAGGACTATCGCTGTTGGCTACTATCTTTTTTGCAGCTTCTCATGCTCAATATTCATGTTCAGATAAACAATAAAATAACAAAATTGTTATCAAAAATACATACAAGTATAGATATAGAGATGAAGAGTAATTTAGCTTTAAACCCCAATGTGAATAGTATATTAGTAAACTAAATAATATTAGTAAAGCTATTAACAATGTAAGCCACTTATTTTTGGACTTATAACAAACGTTTTCTATCCTTGTATATTCCCATTTTCTGTATCGGAAGCCCTTGCAGGTCTTTTCTGACCTTTTAAGCACATGTTTCTTCGAAAATGAACCAAACTAGGTAGTCAGCCAAGTAGGCAACCAAATGTCGCAAACTTCAGCGAACTGAATTGGCTTTTTTGTCGGCAGCTGTCGTGCAAGTTACCAATTGCTATGCCTTCGTTCGATTCCTTTCTAGAAGCCCCAAATTTGGCAAAGTGACAATGGCCAACATAACAACACAACACCACACACGCAACACACAAAGACAAGGCAATGGAAATGATACCACGCCCATTTAACTGCCATGCAGTTCAACGCCCCCGACGCGCCTAGTGAAAGGGTGATGGCGATGGTGATGGGGACGACAAGGCTGACGTTTACGTGACTTGTTTCATAAACAAACAGCAGCTAAATTGCACAAAATTGCCAACGTAGGCGACTCGGCGTTCGTTGAAAACGATGGTTAGGCCAAAAACTGAATAGAAGGCAGACATTCAGGTAGACGGGCAGGCCCAAAGAAAAGAATGGTACGCTGAGCCAACCAGAGGTAGATGGAAGCACATGCTGGTGACTGTTGGAGATGGACAAACCCGTGACTTGGACTACGATTGTATTTCTGCCATGAATTTACCAAAATCTGTATAAATGTGAAGCACATTCGCTGAATTTGATGACTGTGTACATCATGTACCTATTCGAAAAGTCAATAACAAATTCACTATGGCCTTAATCTGGTGGCAGTTGAAGCGTAAATCAACCGCCATACTAGCCGCTACAACGACCGCTTGATGATCCACTGCAACAGGCTGGCCAGCCCTCAACCTGATGAACGCCCAATAACACGACTCAAAAGACTCTGATAAGATTCTTATTTTTAGCGTTTATATTTTGTGTACACTTGTTAAGTTTGATGACAATTCCTTGCATAAATATCAAAAAAAAAGCAAAAACCATCCACATAAATCTGCTTGTTTTAGATTCAAGCTGAAAAATTGATAGCATAAGTTTTCATTTCATATAGGTTTCTATTTTAAGAATTTTTAAGATTGCGTAGATAGATCATATACTCATAAGCTTCTCATATATATATTTATATAGTAGAGTAAACAATTGAAAAATGTAATTAAAACAAGTAAAAAAAAGCTAAAGTCGGGTGTCCCGACTTTGAAATACTCTGTACATATGTTTACAATAATTATAGAAAATAAAAAAATTAAGAAAATAAAAAAAAAAATTTGATCGATTTTACCTCTCTCGGTATTCGAACTCACGTAAAGGGTGTATAATTGCACATTTACATAGCAATTGCGTCTGTGTGAGTGTATGTATGCCTATGCGCATCAATTCGTGTCTGTGTAAGCATTTTCGCAGTCAACCAAACAGCAACATCAACAACAGTCGCGGGCAGCGCTTGAGCAGCGCTGCAGCAGCGCTGCATCAGCAAATATATTTATGGCTATAACTTCTTGTTAAATCGGTCTATCATAATGAAATTTGGCATACGGACACATAATAACCAACTGGGGGTATTTCCAAAATTTTAGTTCGAAATTCCAAGAATTACGGGAGTTACGATTTGCGGGGTAGAGGGGGGAGGGAGGGGAATTCCAAAATATACATTTTCTGCGTATTCACATAAGGCATCTGGGACTAAAATTTGGTGTTCCTAGGTCTTATAGTCTCCGAGATATAGGCGATTATACGAATGGAAAATCGGGAAAACCCCCATAGGGGGGGAAGTGGGGGGGAAATCAAAAAAATAAAACAAACTCGTATAGAATACACACATAACGCATCTTTGTGCAAAATTTGGTGTCTCTATCTCTTATAGTCTCTGAGATCCAGGTGTTCATACGGACGGACAGACGGACAGACGGACAGACAGACAGACAGGGCTAGATCGACTCGTCTCGTCATGCTGATCAAGAATATATATACTTTGTGGGGTCTGCCACGCCTCCTTCTGCCTGTTACATTTTTCAGCTCCCGCAAACCTAATATACTCTTGTACATTTCATGTACAGAGTATAAAAATTAATAAAATATATTGAAGTGTTCTAAGTAACCATAAAATGAAATCATCGGAATAAAATACGATACGATTAAAATATGATTTGACTTATTTAAAGAATAGAACGAGACACATTTAAGCATTTCGCGAATGCACATTGATTATTCTTCGTACATCTACGAAGTTGTTGTTTAGTCGTCAACTTTTGAAAAGACAATGCGTAGTCACAGCTTTTGAAAGTGTTGCTCATCTCTGTCGTGTGAATGTCACATTGATCATCGGAATCGCTGCTGGTAGGGCTGCTGGCAATTTTCACTTTTCCATACAACTTGGTAATTGTTTCCGCCAAATGTACAGCTGCTCTCGCTGCTGGACAGAGCATCACTCGGTACTTAGTGCATATAGTGTTCTGTGGTTCATCTGCAATTAAATGAGAGACGAGTACGACTAGGCCCAAGCCAAAGTTCTAATCATTCAAAAGTCATAAAATGTCATGGGTCATGCGTGACTGATTGCTGAGCATTCAGTGCTCTAGCAGCACATCAAAATGCTGGTCCTCCGATATGGCAGATACAGCGTTTTAATCTGCGGCCTACCAGCAACGCAGCTGAGGACAGTGCTTTAATAATATGCACAGACAAATAAGGAGGTCCTTTGACTACCCAACGGAGCGCGAATTTTGTGTGCGCGTTTAACTAACTTATACAACATTTTAACCTACATTGCTTTCAACTCTAAATGAGACATGAAAAGACACGAAACTTTTCTCATTATGCCACATACACACGTCGATGATGAGGGAAGGAGGGAGAGGGCGACACACGATGCTATAAGGGCACCATACAGCAAAGTACTTACATTTAAAAACTAAAGTGCCAACCGGCATTCAAGCTCAAAAGTTGTCGCTATTTTGCGTATAGACAATGCAGCTGCAAGCCTGCAGGCGGAGGTAACTTTAAGGTAAGGCAACGACGACGTCGACGATCCAACCAGGACCACCACTACACACGTGCCACGCGTACAGACAGTTGAGGCTTACTAGCAAATATAAATGCATGGCAGGCAAGTTCTTGCAACACAGGCGACTGAGCACCCAAAACGGCAGACAAACGAGGCAGCAATTTTTGTATGAACCCAAGAAAAATCACCATGGGGCACAAGAGTCATTATAGTGGGTAGAAATTGTAAAGCACTTTTTTCAAAGTGCACATATTACCCGAGGTAGTTCACTGGAAAAAACACAAAGTTATTACTTACTAAACGAAGATAAAGACTAGTTCTTATATAGGTATATAATATTTGGTGGGCTTACTTACTTTTTGTGGAAACGTCTTGTAACCGTTGCTTAAACTTAAGTGCTAACTATTTTTTCATTCATATTTTTTAAAAATTATAAATAAATTTTGCGAGGAAAGTGGAGAGAAAGAATCATATAAGTTGCCATATAAACATTCGTTAATATGGGTACTTACGGTTCCAAAATCTTGGCTAACATGACTAGTTCATTTTTTCACGTCATATTGATTAAGATTATACGTTTTTTTACAGGTTATTCAAAATCAAGACCTATTTAATCACTTATCAGTTACCAGTTAATAGGAAGGATCAGAAAAATCAGTTGAGGAATGCCATCACCAACATAGTCGGATATTTTTTAACACAAGATGTGAGCCCTTCGGTCAATCTGTAAAATATAAAAGTTGAGCAAATTCACAACTATCTTGATAGCCATGGAAAGCTGGAGTGAAACACGCCAAGCACTCAAAAACTCTATACCCACTCCAAAAAAAATTCGATCAAAAAAAAAAAAAAAAAAAAAATTGGACAATGTTGATCCGCGTTTGGTGAGGATCACTCTTATACTATATTTCCCGAAACCACGGTCGCAAAGACAAACGGACAAATAGACTCCTCTAGACATAATGACAAACCTATTGAAGCTTTTCAAGTCTGCCTGCAGCCTTTCCTTCTGTAAGTAACATACTTTTGCACTACACTAATACACTTTTAACCTTCATGTACTGGGTAACTAGCCTACCTAGCAAATATATTTTTTGAAAATAAATTGAAATTTTTGAGTTTGTAATAAACTAAGTAGCAGTAGCTTAAAAAATTAGTGTTTTATTCCCCCAATAGAATGACATTTGTCAGTAGCTAATACAGTAAATCATTGATACATGGTCGGCATGACTTGGATGTACCGAGTGTCATTGTAATTTTAATACTTTAAGCTTCCTTAAGAATCGAATTAATCCCCAAAGAATCGAAAGGGTTTATCAGTTAAATATTGAAAGGGTTAATATGCTCCATTGTGCCACAGTAAGACAAACTTTGCTCTGCATATTCAACATCATTAGAAAGTCATGACAAAGTGGCAACAAGAATGGTGTAAGTGAGGAGCCAGCGCTTAAAGGTATGCTACAATTTATGCCATTGAAACAGCTTTCATGTGGGGGTGGCACATACCATTGTCGCTTTAATGTTACACTGTCAGAGGAACAAAACTTAAGTTACATGAGCACGCAAGGGCATAAGAAGCCAGCAGATGAATCATCCTCTAGCGGTGGACGACGTTTGGTAAAGAGACGCAGGCCACTTTGTTTTGCGCTGACGCGTGTTCCCTTCATTTGAAGCAGCTGCTGGGTCTTTTGCAGTGGCTCTCCATCGATCACAGTCAACTGTTCGTTCCCGGCGCTGACTCGCTCTTCGTTCGATGGTGACTCTATAAAATCGGGAGCAAGAGGCACAAAGGGCTCGGCGCTGGCATTAAGCTGGGCCGTACGAGACAGTGTGCCGCTTTCCCGCCAGATAGCATCGTAACGTGGCCCATAGGATACATCCTCGTTGGCCGCATTGCTCCATTTTGTGTAGGGAGCCATTGTTTCGGACACTGCTCAGAACTCAAATTATTTGTATGTGTGGCTAATAATATTCGGCAAGTATATGGTGTGACGGTGTGTGTTCGATTTGTACTTACATTCGTCGAATAGCTTGTTGGCAAGCAAGGTGGCTGCCAAGCCTGGAACAAACTCGGGCGCATCGGGATTCAAACGCTTGTCTAACGACTGACTGCTACTCGGAGTAACATCGTTTTGAGGTTCTTCGTCCTCAGAAGGAACGCTTGGGAGCTCGAACTTCTTGTCGCTTTGGCTAGACATTTCTGGACTAGTTTTACAAAAATTCAATGTGAGTTTTTTCTTATTCCTATTTAGGTAGCTTTATGAACCTATTTGTTGATTTATTATTTCAAATGACAACTATGTCAAGCATATGTGATATTCAACTGATTTTCTTTTTGCTGTTTTAAATATTTTAAAGTTAATATCGTTATGGTTATTTTATGTTATTATTAATAATTATATTTAAACGCCATTTAAAGCAGTTTCTATACTGAGTTCAGTAACACTATTCTGGACTGAACTGTGGCACAAGGTCAGATGTAAAGTAATTTGGCCTTAAAAATATGTTTAATTTATCTAACTGCTCACCAGCCTGAACGTATATTCAAAGTTCTGAGCATTCGCTTTATTATAAAGTTTTAATTTCAATATTATTTTCCTTAATGATAAGATAACTTTTGAGAATATGTGGATTTTACACAAATTTATTTTATGTAATGGATTCTGGCAGTGCTTTAAGATTAGTATTTAAGTATACGTTCACAAAAATGGTTTACTATAGTTTAAAGAGCACACAAGACCACGTATTACGACTGTATATAGAACGAGTGCAGCTCACTTGTTTCGACTGCAGACTGTTTTATCGAATGCTAATATCGATTATCTCTCATTACCCTGTTCTGCCCATCCTACAAGAACATATGAGATTGACGTGCAAATTTTCCAAAAGATATATTTTCTTTCCATTCATTTCATCAATTGTTTTCACCGATAGGGTACTTATACTCGATGGAAACACAAACCTAATCTCTCACTCAAATATATATTGCAATTTTGCTGCCGACATAAAACTAAACAGGATATTGTTGCGCAGGCATGAATGCCATCCTTTGTGTATTGGCACATGTAGTCGAACATTTTTTCAAATGACCCTAAAACGATGTTGTTTTTCTTTCTTCTTAATGCAACTTCTGTCACAAAAAACACATAAGCCTGCACAATTGTACAACGCTTATACGTCACATGCACCCACTAATGTAAACAGCAGCTAAAATCCAGCGTAAAAACGGCATGCGTCAGGACATGAAACCGGCCAGATATTTTGCCAATACAAATAAATCGATTTCAATGCACCTACACACACATTTGCGGATGCATATACAAAAAATGTACAACCAGTGCCGTATTAGTGGATTAGAGTGAGTCTCTAAAGCCCAGAGAACTATACGAAAAACCGCATAAACAACAACGTAAATAAATCAAAACAAACAATTGAAACAGTTGTCGGTAAATTGAAATTTGAAATTCAGTCGCTGACTTTGCAGTCCTTTTGTTGTTGTTGCTCTAGTTCTACTCTGTCAGTACACATGTTAGTAATACCGAGTCTATATACAAGTGCATGAAACTTGGCAACGATTCCATCCACAAATTTGGAACAATGCGCTCTAATAGACAAGTATCTCCTGGTCAAGAGGGTGAATTAAAGTATTGCTATTTTTATTAGGCCTGACAAAGATAATTTTTGCAATACTATATAATATGCCCACAATTATTTGTACATAGTTAATTTAAATATACGAAAAATATATAAAATTTTTAATAGTTAATTCGAATATTTTTTAATTTGTAAAATAGAGACAAACATTGACCAAAATTCCCAGCGGATGTTTTCAGCGGATGTGTGGTATAAATATAAAGGGTTAGCCTTTAACACATACATGTATGGTCGTTAGGAATGTGTTAAGTATGAGTTTTCAATCAGCTATTCCCAACATTTTAATATTAGTATTGATTCAAAAGTAGTATTGATCAAAAAGTGGAAAACGATCAATATTTATAATTACCAAAGATTTCTAAATTACTTTCTAATAAAATTGTTGTATAAAATAAATAAACATATATAATTTGCATTTACAAAATAATCATTATTAAAGACAATGAATACTGTTGGTAAGAAGATTATACAAAAAGAGGGGAAAATATTTATTAATTACAAAAAAGACACATTTGGCGTGAATTAAGCCCACGTCCACATACATCTGCTGTTATTTAATATAGTCACACTCTAAATCTAGTATTTTTATATTATACTCTATATCTACCGAAATACTACTGAAAAATCCATGTTGAAAATATTTAAATATGCGTGTAAATATTTAAAGTTAGGTGTTTTGTTTTATGAGTGTATGAAGCATCTCTCGTGTTGAGGACCGATCATATACTTGGTTGTACATGTTACGGAAGCAGTTTTTATTTCTCGTCCACATCAAGCCTTCTCAAGCTTTTAACTATATCGGTAATAATGATTTATTGTCAAAGGCGCCCACATAGATAAGAGCAGTATAACTCTGGAGAAGTATGAGAGCAACAGCAGTAGAATGTTCTAGAGCAGCAATATATCAGTAGAAAAGAGCAGAGATCAGCAAATAAGAGGCAGTCCATTATATTTCTCCCCAACAGTATCAAATCGTGCCCATCAAGTACAAAAAGGTAATATACATGAGAAGCTGCAGAAATATTCTCTACTTAATTTCGATTCTGAAATGGATTTCGTCAAAGCTTTTTGTTTTCGATTTTGCCTCCATTGACAAGTGTCCTGTGGCAACAACCAACAAAAAAATAAAATAAATAAATAAAACGAGAATAGCTGAGGGCATGAAAGAAACGCTTGTGCGTTGTAAAATGAACTTTGCATGGAACAAAGGCTCCAATTCACTGGCTAGGCGTTGACTTCCAAGTAATTTGAGCAACAAGAGGGCCAGCAACAAGCAGGACAATGCCAAGTGACATGCCAAACGTTCTGCTTTTCCGTTTTGTTGCTGTCTCGCATTTCACACCACATAGATTTTATGTACTGTGAAATCTTCATGTGCGCTACCCAAAAACTTGTGCAATAAAATAAAGTAATTAAAAACCGCAATTTAGAAGCGAGGACCCTACATCGTTCTCGTCTCACTGTATACAAGAATATATACGCATACTACATATCTAACTAATGACCATTGCTGTTGCTGTTCCCGTTGATGAAGTTCCTGCCATCCGTATTGTTGTTTGCGCTGTTGCTGTCGACTCTGGTCTTACAACACGAATTAGCTAATCTACAGCACTCGCTTTTATTGAGGTAATACAAGTAGCTAGAATGGCTGCCCAAAAGCTACTGACGTCCAAACCACGACCCTTGTCTCATACAGGTGCCCAAAGAGAGCGCTCTTCCTTTTTATTATTGTTTTTTTTTTTTGCTAACATTTTTTATGATGGAAATTACAAATTTTTATGTTTTTTCAGTTTTGTAATTAAATTTGCTGCTGCTGCTGCTGCTACTGCCGTTGGCGTTGACGTAGTCGTTGTTGTTTCTCTTCACTGTTATTCATTGTTGTTGTTGTTGCTGTTGTTGTTGTTGTTGTTTTATGTGTGACTTTTATGAGCGTGACACGTGAGTTAATTTTATATATACGCAGTATCAAACCTCAACTTGCACCCCAGTAATTGGAGAAGGAGCCGACTATGGTGAGCCTTAAAACTTTTAATTACGTAAATGTGTACTAGTACATTTTTAATTAAACGAAATTGCCATTAAATTGGTCATTGATGGTATATGCATATCGTTGATCTAATATCTTTTCAATTGCTGCTCATTTTAGGGTCATAGACGAATTGAATTGAATTTAATTGCCACGCGATTTTGCCATTTCAAATAAGGTTTAGATATTTAAACAGACTTTTGGCATTATCGTTCAGACTGTGAATGAACATAGGGACTTTGACTTGATTAAAAACGAATATTGAGTTTTTGTTCAATTAAAAAATGCAAATTTTTTCATAGGGCGTTCGTCATATTCAGATACATTTGAAGCCTTTTAATCAATTAATTAAAGGACAGAATATTATGAAATAAATCTTAAAAAAGAGTAGCTAATTCGGAACCTTTAAATATTTAATGATGCATTTAGTTGTACAATTCTCACAATAATAATATATGAATTTCTCAAATACATCTAACAATATATCATTTACGACCGATAACGATTTCCTAAATTGGTATTAAAATATAATTCGTTAAGAAATATTCAAGTGGAATCAAGTCATTATTTAATGAAAACAAATTATTTATTTGTATCCCTCTAATAATGAAAAACACATATCTAAAACAACATTACAAGTATATCTATCTACTTGTATAGTAAGTATAAAGTAAAACATTGCATTTAACTTGAACTTTGCTGTGGATATAAAAACTAATAATCCACCATATTGAGCTATTTTTACTCAAGGACGAGCTAAATTTTATTTCTTCAGTACCTATAATTTCATTTTATTTAGCAATATAAGATTCATTGATCGCAAAAGCTGAAACGCACACCCAACACCCCAAAAGCATGCCAGTGAATGAGGGGCGAAGGAGTTGGGGCTTTACTTTTTAAGTGAATTATAACTTTTGTAACAAAAAGCTGTGCAATACACACACACACACACACACACACACACACACACACACAAACTGTGCCCCACATTTGAGCGACATGTTTTGTGCCGTTCACACGGAAACCCAACTTATCCACTGAATCAACATTTATATTGAGCTGGGGCTTCCTCCTTTACTTTTCTTGGCGCAACTTTTACTTTTTCAGACGCCAAAAGTATTGTGCGAAAAGAAAATAGCTCAAAGGTTCAATTCAGCCTCTCAACTGACTGACTTTACAGTTGGCGAGCACTTAAACAGCGGCAGCAGAACTACCAACAACAACAACAACAACAACGAGAAGAACGCGTGTCACTGGCAAAAAAATTCGCAACTGTCAAAAGTGACTGCAAAGTTTTCGCAACAGTACGTTTAACTTATCATGGCTTTGGCCAAATTGACGTTTTGTCTCTTGTCTGTTGTTTTATATTGAAGAGAGTATTCTAGTGCTTTTTTAGCAAGCGAAAACTAAACAAGATTTCTTGCTACAAATTCAAATATATATATATACAGCCACCTCAATAAAGGAAAAACAGAATTAGATACATAGAAAGAGCACTGCATTCACACTGTTTCGATGATCATTTTCTTTGATTTAAATATAAATG